ACAATTATTTATGTAGCTTGTAGTCTTTAAGTAAGTGAATACAAAATAGTAGGATCAATATAGCGCATTTTTTTTAATTCTCGTATGGATATCGGCACTAAAATTCACAGCTTTTTTGCTTGTTATAAAAATGAATAAGGATATCAATAAACAATAGAATTTTATCCGATTTTACGTTGAATTAAATAATTATTTATTATAATACGTTGGAATTGAATTATGTAGAAAATGCACTGAAAGATTCACGATGCTTGGTTAAAATGTTCATAATTGCCATGATTATGGATAATCAAGGAATAATCCACATGATTATGGATACAACAAGGCCTCCGTACGCCCATGAAGGCCTATTACGAGTGATTATGGAGTTTTTAAGTAGACTTTGGACTATTGTACTTGTCTGCAAGAAATGAAATTTTATTGCGAACTTTTTAGCTACACTGGCGGGGTTAAAACCGGAAGGACTTATCTGACTGGATTTGCCTCCTCCAAAAATCCTAGTTACGCCTTTAGGTGTCTCTTACCTTAGTCGTGTTCCGATTGATACTTAGAATCCTTTAATAAATTTCCCTGTTCTCCAAAAAAAAAAAGTTCATAATTGCCGCAGGTGTACAATAGATCAGCTCATCAACACAAACAAACATACAATAAGCTATGTTTTGGATTTGGAAAGGACCTACAGCTACAGCTCAGAAGCTTAATTTAAAAAAGAAAAGTGTACCAAAATTGATAAAAATGGATATAAAGGTCTACGAGATTAAAAAAAATAAAAATTGAGATGGATATTCATTTGAGCATCATCTATTGCACTGGCGTTAGTACTCTAGAATGCCCCTTTCAGAAAGAAAGAAGACAAAAATATGCTCTTAAATTAGAACAAGCCTTATCTTAGGTAATTTGTTTTAAGATCCCAAATTCTGGATTAGTTGGTTGGGCCCACGAGTTACTGTCCAAGAAAGATATGTCTACAACCTTGAAATTCTTCATCCTGTTATTATATGCAAATCTTATAGAACATGTTGCCAAAATTGATAAAAATAGATATTAAATAATCCATATCTATTTCCTGTGATTTTCGTACACTATTACAGGAGGACTCATCTATTATAAAGACATCATAAGGGGCAGATCTCATTCTAATACAAGGTATTAAACTGAGAATATGAATCTAGCTTGATGCAATTGCTCGGGGATTTGAGAATGACAGAACAACGATTCGATCCCTGCTCGATCACCCCGCACGAAATGCAGGTGGCCAACTCGGCTAGTTGAGTTGGTTGAACTTTACGGCTTATGTTTTAGATAAATATAATAAAGTTACATAAAATTTCCTTAAATAAAGTATTTTAATTAAAATTATGCGTTTAATGGTTAAATTGATTTTGACTTCATAACGTGACATATTGGTACAGTTCTTTTATAGGTTTTTTTTTGGGCAATCTTTGGTGCAAATGGCATTTGATTTGGATTTCGCCATACTTGTAAAAAATAAGCTCCTACTCTACCTCATGCATAATCTCGAACTTCTGGAAACATCTAGTATACTTGATCATACAAACGTCCAAGAGAGTATCTATCCAGAACAAAGAAAAATCAACTAAAGAATATAATCTGTGTCCGTTTATAATTGCACAATAATAAAATGAACAAAAAATGTCAATTATTTAAAGCTTACTCACTGCATCATCTATGAATACCTAACACTATCTCCATCTCGAACTAATTGTCTAATTTATGTTTTCGCTTTTAATACAAAATATATTAGAAATAAAAATTAAAATCACTTAAATTTTGGAACAATGTAAATAATAATTATCTACCTTCAAAAAAAGAAGAAGTGATAATTACCTAGTTCAACTCGAACGTACTTTCTCAGTCTTATTAAGAGAGTCAGGCTTATTGTACCAAAATAATTTGATAAGAATCTTATTTTGGCTGAGTTAAGGAGTTATGTTTCTTTTCATAGGCTTTTACCAAAAGATAACAAATTACACTCATTGCCATAAATGATTTCATAATTTTGGAGAAAGTGGTAAAGAATTATTTATGTAGCTTCTAGTCTTTAAGTGAATACTAAAATAGTAAGATCAATATAGCGCATTTTTTTAAAATTCTCGTATAGATATCGACACTAAAATTCACATCTTTTTTTTGCTTGTTATAAAAATAAATAAGGATATCAATAAACAATAGAATTTTATCCAATTTTACGTTGAATTAAATAATTATTTACTATAATACGTTGGAATTGAATTATGTAGAAAATGCACCGAAAGATTCGCCATACTTGGTTAAAATGTTCTTAATTGCCATGATTATGGATAATCAAGGAATAATCCACATGATTATGGATACAACAAGGCCGCCGTACGCCCATGAAGGCCTATTACGAGTGATATGGGAGTTTTTAAGTAGAATTTGGACGATTGTACTTGTCTGCAAGAAATGAAATTTTATTGCGAGCTTTTTGGCTACACTGGCGTGGTTAAGACCATAAGGACTCATTTGACTGGATTCGCCTCCTCCAAAAATCCTAGTTACGCCTTTAGGTGTCTCTTACCTTAGTTGTGTTCCGATTGATACTTAGAATCCTTTAATAAATTCCCTTGTTCTCCAAAAAAAAAGTTCATAATTGATGCAGGTGTACAATAGATCAGCTCATCAATACAAACAAACAAACAATAAGCTATATTTTCGATTCGGAAAAGACCTGCGGCTACAGCTAAAAAGCTTAATTTAAAGAAAAATGTACCAAAATTGATAAAAATGGATATAAGTTATCCCCCAACACACACACACACATACATATATTATGTAATTGCCTAATCTATTACAGAGAATCTTCTCATTTCTAATACAAACACATTAAAATGAAAATATAATTGCTAGGTGCATAAGGTTCAAGGGCTCGAGAATGATAAAGTACATTTGATCCCCTGCCTGATCACCCTGCACAAAATGCCAATGCCCAACTTGGCAATTCGAGTGCTTTAGCAAATTTTAATTTACACACCATTAGCATACTTGAGTGGTGCACCTTAATAGCTTGTACTTCAAATCCAATTGATATGGCATCGATCACCAAAGCGCAAGAAGAGGTACGATACAGATGTATGATGGATTTCAACCAATTGAAGGAGAAGAAGAAGACAAATTAACAGATGTATTTTTGTAGAAGTGCTTCTAATTTTTGTTCGTTAAAGAAAAATTAATTCATAAAATTTAGAGAAGCGACAAATTCAATTCCTTATTAATGGAAACAATCTTGGCTCGATACGGTTACTATTTCACCTTTAAAATTTAGTTGAGAATACGAGACAGTAGGTGTAATGCAACAAGGATACAAGACAATTAGACAAATAATTCTCAGTGTAAATAAATATGTAAATATATATATATATATATAGTGTATTGTGTCATCTGTATATTAAATCAAATCTTCATCACTTAGACGTCTTATTATAACTCTTGATCATACTATTCTTTACACTATTCAACTTACTTCTATGTATCAACATATGCAATGTTTTGTTTTTGCTGGAAAATTGGAAGGCACGCTTATGCATTGTATACATTAATTAATAATTTCTGTCTTAACATGATTGACAACAAATGATACAATCATTTAGGGATGTGGAGAATAGGATTCATCCGCAATTTCACGAATATTCCGATTACTATTTTTGGTGGGAATTCACCTTTCTACTTGGTGCAAACTTTAGTTTACGAGTTTCAGCAAAAATGAACCGTTGAATCCAAATGAAGGCAAATTAGCTAGTCATATGATCTCTTCATTTAGAGTCCCAATTCGCGTAGAACCATCATCATAAAATTATTCAATTAATTCTTCATTTAATTTTTAGCTGTATAATTTTGGTAGGAAAAAATGATAAATAAATAAGAACTCGAAGGTCATATTCGCGCGCAAAATGCAGCATGTGTCTATTCTAGACGAATATTCACAAATGGTTTCTGGTGTTTGTTTTACCGATATGATGATGTGATTGAGCGCTGTATATATATATATATATATATATATATATATATATATATATATATATATATATATATAGTCCATGAAATTTGCTGACCAAATTGCCTTAGTATGTGGTATGATTGTGATATGAATTATAAGATCTAATTTTGACAAAATGAATTAAAGATTACTACCGTAATGAGAGCTGAAAAAAACGACTTGGAAGAAGAAGAAGAAGAAGAAGGCCGGAACTGATGAAATGGGATGATTTAAGAGACAATATTTTGTAAAACCGCAATTCTCTTGAATATGTACATTAACTACTTCTTCATTTTCAGATCGTTTAATTGCAAGAAACAAAAGGACAATTTTATCATCTACAAAATAATTTTGGATCTCTAATAAATCTTTCATAAGATTCGAACCTCGAAAAAATATGAAATCCAAATTTGTTATATATACCCGATATCCAATATATATAGTTCTCGATACTTACTAGAAAAAAAGAAAGAAATTAAGAAAAGAAACCTCGTTATAATAAGTTAAAATGACCATCTCCTTTCACATCACATCCATATCTTCCAATTACAAAGTTGATGGTCTTCTAGCATAGAAGACCTTTTCAACCAAGGCAACATATGAAAATCAGAAACCAAAAAAAAAAAAAAAAAAAAAAAAGAAAAGGACATTTCAGCTTTATATACATCTACCCAATATATTTATAATGTTAAAAAAAGAAAAAGAAAAAAAAAACATCTACCAAATATATACTTATGATAGTAGTATATATCATTAGTTTCCACGTACACCAAATTTTCTTTTTTTTTTTTTATCCCATATGATTCCAAATGATTGCATATTGCTCCTCCACCACCATTCCTTTTCTTCTCCTCTATAACCTTCCAATCCCACATTTGCAACACTTCAATTTCCTCAATTCATTTCTTCATCGATTTTCTCTCACACAAACCTAAAAAAAAACCCTTTCTCTTATCTTAAGTTTTTTTTTTTTTTTTTCTTTCTTCTCCAATTGACATGATCAATGGCTTCCACATGCATATCGAACTGTGTAGACGCCCGAGCTCCCGTGAGGGCCACCTACGTAAATCTCTACAAGTGGCCGGAATCCGACTTGGCATTCGTCCGATCGTTGAGCTTGAATGAACGGAGCAACGCCGCCGGAAACGGAACGGCGTCCCATCACGGCCGGCAACAGCCGAAGGTGGTGGACAGCATCTCGTGCCGGCAAATGTACTTGAGAAGCTACACTTTCTCGAGGGACGACGACGACGAGTTGTTGAATAAGGAGATGAGGAATCGAAACTGTTTGAGTTTTCGGAAAAAGAAGGCGGCGGCCGCGGCTGAAAATAAAAGGAAGAGTAAGCCCAGAGGCGGCGGCGGCGGCCGTGCTGGTGGCGGTGGTGGCGGTGGCGGCCGTCGCAAACGGAAAAGATGCACCGGTGGGTTTAGAAGGGCTAAGGACATTTCGTGTCTGGCTCTTTCATCGGTTTTCCGGCGGTTGCTTTCTTGCACTACAAAAGTTGATGTGGTTGGTTGATTATCATAGTAAAATAATAATGTTTAGTTAATTTGGATGTTTTTATTTATCTTATTATAGATTTTTTTTTTTTTTTGGAGGAGAGCCCGAAATGATTTTCTATGTATGTAGTTGAAATTTCTGTAGCTCTCGGCTCTTTTGGTAAACTTCCCATCAGTATTTACTGTTAATAATTATATAATTAGAGGTTAATTCCATATAAATTTAATACGTAAACATATTAAAACTAGTATTCTTTCATAATTTTTCTTATTTATTTATTTTTTTCTTCATATTTATAAAGTGTTTACTGTTTAATGTCAATAATTAATCTGTTCGTTAAATTTTTAAAGTGATTTTTTTTTTTTTGAAGACTCAGAGTACAATTATCCCATCAGATGTTTCATGGACCATCGTACATAATTAAAACCATTAGCACAGTCCAAATTTCTCCAAATAAAAAAAGTCATATTAACTCGTTGTATTGGTTTATTTTAATGAATTATTCCTTTTTAAAGTCGGGGAATAACTAATAATAACTCTTTCTTAGCAAATATACTTTTATGTTTATTATGTTTATACATAGTGAAAATTTCAACGCCTGGGTGCATGGTACGCATCTTATTCTTTTACGGAAAAAAAAAAAAACTGTAGTAAACTTGGAAGAAGGCTGCATGCTGAACATTTGTATATGATAGAGGATAAACTGGTACCATTTTCGTCTTCAAAACTTTACTGGTGTAATTTAAGGCAGCAGTAATCATACTCGATGTCAACTTAATTTGTGCTACTACATCCTTTATTATATTCATCATTTTCTAGATATGGTAGTTAGATTTCAGAAAACTTGTGTTTCGACATAATTAATAAGCTTTGACAGATGCCATATTTGATCATTGCTACTTTATTAAAATGGTTGGGGTTACTTAGAATGTCAGGCTAACTACTATAATGCCCATAAAACTTTATGCTTTTTATTGTCTATTCAAAGATTAGTTGCTTCTTAATCCAAAATTCTCTTTTATCTTCACGATCTCATTATGCATTGGTCGTATCGTAACTATGTCTTATGATAAGAATGAAATATTTTGGCGAAGTTGGGATAAAAGGATCATGTATGCATGTATAGGTGCATAAAAAAAATTATTGTTTCGTAGCTAAACTCAAGTAAATGGTTGAAGGATAAAATATAATATGTTTTACTATATTTAATATTTTAATTGAACCAGTATTATTCTCAGACTAATTCGATAAATATTCAAAATCGAAAAACATGATTTTTTTATATAAAGAAGGAGATTACAGTCTGAAAATAACTAATTCGTTATAATTGTAGGATACGAAATTACGATAATATCATGTTCGAACCATAGTTTGACCTTGATGAAGGATACTCAAGCCAGAACAAATCCCCGAAAAACATGACTTGCCTTGAATAAATTGGTATCCTTTTAGGGTGGGATTATCTCCAATTCGCCATCATGGCACCATATGCATGCGATTGGCCAATGTTTGTAAAACAAACCTTATCATCATAATGTTCTTAAAAAAAAAAAGTAGGGAAACTTACAAAGTCAAAAAGTATATATGTAAGCAGAATTTATGCATACTATTTCTTTTAGTTCAATACACAATATTGGCTTGTCTCGTTGTTGTTTTTGTCGCCTTTAGTTAGCCACTTTTGCTATCTTCTAGCCATGAAAAACAAGTTATGGCATATTTCTTTTCTTTTTAAAATGATTTTAACTGTCATTTTATGATTTGGAAAGTATATATGAAACCCCTTTTTGATCCCATAACCAAAAACAAGTACTATATAGAAACGTAGAAATGCAAACAAATGTTCCTTATTAGATTATTTTGTTTCTTCATTTGCTAAAAAAAGAGTACTATTGCCAAAAGGACAATCTCAAAGGCAATCCGCAATTGTTTATTGCTCATCATGGCTTGTCATTTTATGTGAGTGGCGAGCATCATCAAGGTGCAGAGGAGTAGCACAAAAGGAAAAGTGCCAAATATTACATGGCAAACCGACCAAAGAAAAGAAACTCATCACCTTATTAAATTAGATATGATTCATTCGTGTCAAAATGACTATCATATAAATTACAATAAATAATTTCACAAAAATTATCGTTTTGGAACAAAAAAAACATGCCCGCAATATCGAAATTAGTACTAAAAATGAAACAGTAACTTTAAGTCAAAAGAAGTATATAATTTTCTCCTCTATAAGATCATGATGCAACTTACCCCGCAAGTTTTGCTGCGTTCATTGCCTAGCTAGATCAAATCGTTCATATCACCTACTACTACTACTAGTACTCATTGTTTAGTGCAATTACACATTCATAATTTATGTAATGCCTTTCAATACAATTGGGAATGTCAATGATCATCATCGGGGACCATCCATGTATGCTAATTGTGACCCCGCGAAGTAAGAAGGATGAGGGCCAAGGACTCATCAATTGCTATTCTTCACTTAATATCATAGAGACGTACTTGGTTGGAGTGTCTCATATTAACTCATTTTTCCAAGTACAAATAATTAACTAAAGAGGTAAATCCCTCATAATTAAACTAGGTAACAATATTACGAATAATTTTGGTAAAATCCGCTTGTGATGTGTATCATTTTGGTTGTAAGGGATTCTGGGCTAGAAAGTAATTCGATTCCTTGTTTTTAAATTAAAGTGTTATTTTGCCTGGTAAAGTAATCATTTTCCTAATTATTGAATTTCTTTGTTTGTTTACTTTTGGGAAAGGAGATTTTTTTTTTCTGAAATCAAGGAAAATAAACACAATATTTCTGGATTATATTCATCACCTTTTAGTTGGTATTGTGATTCCCATCTTTTAGGATTTGAACATTTACTCACTTTTCATTTTCCATAACTCCTTTTTTATCATCATTTTTATACCATTCATATTTTATTCATTTTTTATCTTAATCTAATTTGTTCATATATATATATTTTTAGTTTTTTTTACAATTTTGATTAATGATATTTTTACATTATTAATTAATAAAATATTTGATTTGGCCACAAAGAAACTAGAAACTTTATAAAAATGATTTTTGAAAGTAAAAAATGATTTATTAATATTTTATATAAAATTTTACATAAATGATAAAATAAAACAAATACAAGTTTATAATTTTTTAATAGAAACATCAAACATCTTTAAATAATTTGTGATAATTAACATGATTTTTTGAAAAGGGATATTAACATGATGATTGTAGTCTAACACTCAAAACTCATATTGATCACATTTTAATTAAAATTTGAACTTGATTAATCTAACTCAAAATTGTAAAATCTTTGTTCGATTATAAATTTAAACTTACACACACACATATATAGTTAATGTACGTGAATAAGTTCTTGATCGAGTAGTTAGACTTTGGTGGATCTCTTCGAGATTTTGAATTGAATTTTATAAAAAATATTTTTGGTGGACATATAAGCTAAATAAATTGTTTCTCACATTCAGGTGTATTTTCTAACAAATAAGTAAACAGAAGAAAGTATTTATATTCTCCAGAACTATATTCTTAGAAATCGTTTTAATTAAAAATAGAAGAAACCATATTCTAACATATAAGTAAAATATTAATTTTCTTCAGAATTAAAATCTTAAGAATCTTAACTTTATTGGTTAGGAAAAGTAATTAACTATCTACTCTCTCTGTCTCTAAATTATTGTCTAGTTTGAGATTTCACTTTTAATATAATTTATACTAGAAATAAAAATCCAAACTAGACAATAATTATGGGACGTGGAGAGTATTTACTAATAACTGAAAAGAACCGTAGAACTCATTTCTCACACGTCACAAATTAATGAACTAATGTTGGTATTGCCACCAGGGCAACATGCATGATGATATAAGTCCCACTGTTGATCTCAGTCACGTAATCAGGTAATGGTTTCCTACGTGAACGTGTCAAGATCAATAGTGTTACATACGGGTTACAAGATAACAAAATTTTACATACGAGTTTAGGACATTAACTGGCCAGACCTTCCAAGTGATTCAAAAAAATTCTTGAGAAGTGAGTTTTTTTTTCCCCCTAACGAGAATTCTCTCTCTCAGGACAATGAGAGCATGCATATTGCTTAATAATCTATATTATTACAAATCGTTGATAGAATACACCAACTACAACATAAGGTATACGTATAATAATCTAGATTATTATATATCGTGGTATATGCATAATAATTTACATTATTAATTACATATCGTTGATAGAATACACCAACTACAACATGAGATAGCGATGATAATAGTTACCATGAGAATTCTCTTTAGATTCTCATATTGGGGTGACGAGCCTTGTGTTTGGGTCCAATTAATTTCACTTATTATACCCTCCATTTAAAATTTAAAAAAATTATTTATAGCATATCAAACTCCGCCCGAAAGTATCTTGTATTGTATGTATCATTACATATGCTTTGTCTTCTAACATTGGATAAAGGGGTCCGGACATTGTTATACTCCTTGCGTCCCACAAAAATAGTTCACATTGAGTTTTAAGTTTTTTACTGTTTTTAGTATAAATTTGAAAACTTATTGTGGATTATTTTTGTGGGACGGAAGTAGTATTTTTTCTCCGACTAATTTGGACAGTGTTTTATATGCCGCTATGAATAATATACTACTATAATTAGAAACCCGAATTTTGCACTACGAAGTCATGATCGGCAAGGTTAGAAACAGTCTAAAACGAAAGCGAAAGTCTGCCGGACAAACTTTTGCATTTTGGCTAAAGGTTCGATGGACTCAAACAATTTCGTACCCTTTTAATATACATTGACTTAAGTAAATAAATATGTACTACTTCCGTTCCAAAAAAATAGTTCACATTAAGTTTTTCAAATTTTCATTAAAAATAGTATAAAACTCGAAACTCAATGTGAATTACTTTCTGGGAGGGAAGGATTAGTATGTAGTGTAGTATATAGAGCACAAACTTATATAATTTAGAAATGTTGTCACGGACTGTTTGGCGGGTCTAGGGAATTGTATCGCCATCGGAGTCTACAGTAAAAGTGAACTCATAGTTTTAATACGATCCTAATAAGATATCACATCACAAATTTATAATAAGGCAGTTTCAGCCTTTAGGCATTTTGTAGAAAGTAAAACGGAAAAACGAAGATTTACTACTAGGTGGTTTATGAATAATTTTAGGAATTTATCTCTATGTTGCTGACTTTCATGAATTGGCTA